CAGTACATGCAGACGAAACAAGACCCAGTGCCATTGTCAATGGCTTCTCAGTCAGCCCCATGCCAGCCAAAATTCCTGCACATTCACACTCACAATAGCCACTAGCATCCCATGATGCTAGACTCTGAAGCACACCATCTTGCACTTTACCCAAGAGAGCAGAGATGCTGAAATCCAAGAGGAAAACCACGAACTCCAGCACCCTAGATTGTGCTAACTGGATAGGTATAACTGTTCCTCTATATGAAAACAAAATCTTGTCCTCAGGGTGTTTCTCAGTGTTCTGACAGTCCAGAGGACATCATAAAAATTCTAACTTTTGATTGAAAAGAAGTCATGTATTGAACTGGTCCCAGTTTCCTCTGTCCTCCAATATTAGGTTCATATGATATCTGATCCTGAAGTTATAGCAAAATATATGTCAATAGTCTCACTTTCTATAGCCACATTTTTGTTTGATTCTGTAAAACTCCATTTCTGTCATTTATCCACACATGCACAACAAATTCTTACATAGTGCTGTTAGCTTCTCTCATTCCTGGGAGCACAATCCAAAACAGTCTTCATCATTGAAAACATTTGCTCCTAAAAAGTTTTACTAACACATTCTCTGCCAGATATTGTTCCGCCAGATCTACATCTTCATACCTGAAATACCAGGTCCATTATCTGGTATATATGGTATTTGAACATTTGACCATAACTGAGTCAAGGTAGAATGGAACCATACTTATGATCCGGTCAAATCTGCAGCATGGGAAACAGATTGAGGCATGGCATACAATCTGTGAGTGTCCTCTTATCCATCCTGGCCTATTGTCCAATAGGACTTGAGGACAAAGGGGAAGAAGTGTTGAAAGAAAGCTGTGTAATTGGCCTGTAGTGGGAATGGAGACAGACATCTGGGAGACTGTTTTTGATGAAAAATCTCAACTTTATTCCAGAGTATGGGAATATAGAGAATTGGGTTGTCTGGGGAGATACTGTAATTTGAATTAAGCTGCAAGGTTCTATCACACTGTTAAATTAGTAGATACATGACCGTATCAAAATTTCTAGAGCACTTGCCTAATTACTATGTTTGTCATCAAGGGAAGAATATTTGCAGGAGATGTGTTAAGTGTAACCCTTGAGATAAGTCAAGAATTCTGTGCCTCAAGACATCTCCCAGATAAGCCTAAGTAGAAAGCAGGAAGCTTGTGTTGTGTGGAGGGATACCTCCATGTTGCCCATCTTAGAGAATATTGCCCAGCTATGATAGACTGTAACATCTGATCAGCCAGCAATGTCTTCCAACACATTCAGTAGATTTCTACTTCCTTCTTCATATATTTTTCTGAAGTTGTTATCGGTTCTATAGGTACCACAGTGTTGCCTCCTGTTCTGTTGGCTCTCGTGTCTGGAAACAGGTGGAACCATGAGCTAAGCTCAAGACTGTGTGATTCTCTGACTTAAGGTACTCTGCCCCAGGTATAGAATATAGAAGGCAGCCAAGATTCTGCTCTTTCTTATGGTCACCATGTTACAAAGGGGGATTGCTACAGTTGGATACATACAGCTGTCACCAGGGTGAAGCCTAGTTTTGAGAGGGACATTGAAATTATATTGGCATAAACTAATATCAATTTCTGAAACATCTATTCAGCATCTCCAGGATAATTAAAACCATTTACATATGCAGCTGTACACTGTATTTCATGCCTATGTTACAAGCTAAACCAGACTGTGCATCTTCAGTGTAAGCCATGACATATAAACTTGTAACACAGCAAAGGACCAGCAGGGAGCACAATGAAGCTAAGAATTTCATTAGAAAGATGTGTTGGAGTGTGGAGGGGATTCTGTATCCTCTGTGGTTTCCTTACTTAGAATCTGTTAACTGACCTGCAACAGCTGTGATTAAAATATGTTTTCATGGTCATACATAGTAAAGATTCCTTGTCAAACTCCTCACGGGTTTGTATATTCTTTTTAAATTTTATTCAGTTTTATTTACTTTATAATTTTTTAAAAGAAATTGTATAATATATTCTGATTACTAAATATCCCCCAATTTCACACCCTCTCCTTCTCTCTGTAGAAAGCAAACAGTCAAAAAAAAAAGAATTAAAATAGGAAAACATTTATGTAAGAAACAAAAACAGGAACTTACATACATATAGCCCATAATAACACTCAATTATGAAACTATGTTATATAGGTAAAAGTTGAGTAAGACTGAAGAAATAATGCACAACGTGAAATAAGAGAAAATATCTGTAAAATATTGCATTTATTCTGTGTTAGCCATCTACTACAAGACGTGTATCCAGTCCTGAGTGAAGTAAGTACACCCAATAATACTACAACAGAGAAAACAAACATTTCCCTCACAAGGAACTTCTTGGTTAGGGGAGAAAAGCCTGTGTTTGTGTTCTTCTCTCCACATTGGAACCCCATTAGGATCGAATCTGTGCAGACTTGGAAAGCTTTCCAGACTCTGAGACTTCATATGTGTCTCAGTCCCGTGATGTCTGGAAGTCACTCTTTCCTTGGAGTTATGCACCACTTCTAGCTCTTAAGCTTTATTTGTATTTTAAATTCTTTCTCAGAAACAAGGCCTAAGTATTGAACTACTGTAGACAAATAAGAACGCTGGAAATACCTCATACTGTTCTCAACACCTGTGGGGCCTCCCTGATTATTAAATCATAGAGAGCTGTCTTGTGCCCAAACAGATGTGTTCATTAATAACTCTTGGTTTCTGGGAGCAGAACAGCTCAGCCATGCAGGTATCTGTGCTCAAATACTCATTAGTTAATTAGAAACCAGCTTTGTATTAAACAGAAAATTCTCCCTGCTGGGTCATTTTTCTTGTATAGCAAGGAGCTAGGCAGCCGGAAGGGAGAGAAAAGACATCAGGGATCTTATTCAGTAGCAAACCTCATGGTCTACAAATCTCATCTATGAGCTGTCTCATTCATATTTCTGGAAGTTTATATCGCTTATATCCATAGAACATGATCAGAAAAGCCACTGGGGCAATGGTAATAACTAGATGTCAAGTTTATCTACATATCACTAGTTTTCATACAATTTTCTTTAAAATATAATTTTGATAACAATACTGTATCAACATATTCATAAAACCACACCAAAATCTGAACACTAATTCATTCAGTCAACAGATAGAAAATATCAAATGTAAAATTAGGCACCTAGGAAATCTTCCTTATTTCCTGAAATTTTGTTATAAAAATAACTTTATACTTTATATTTCTCTTATTCCATAGTCTACTTTTCTTTACTTTCATATTTTTGTTTTTTTTATATCATGCAAATGCATGCTATATCCTTTACATTTTTATGTTTACTTATGTTTCAGGATCCTCATTTTAATATGATTTTCTTACAACTTAAATTGTGTTTCTCTTACACCAACTCTTAATGTCTCCATTTTGCAAATGATTTCATGCTTGAAATTCTGCCTCCTGTGTTTTCCTGATCTCCTTTCATTTTATCTATATTTTAGTATATCCTTGACCTTAATTCCTCAAACACCAATGGCCAATTTGAAGTCTCTTGGTTTATATAAATTAAACACACAAACATAATATTCACATCTTTCAATCACATATAAGTGAGAACATGTAGTATTTGTCTTTATGGTCTAGGGTGACCTCACTGAGCATATTTTTCCAGTTCCATCCACTTATCTATAGATTTCTTAGTTCATATTTTACTACTGCTTATTATTCCATTGTTTATGCAACCAACATTTTCAGTATATATTTGTTCTTTGTTGGAAATATAGATTTCTTCCATCTTCTAGCCGCTGTGAATAGAACACCAATAAACATGAACACACAACTGACTCTTTTTTTCTTCTTTTTTATTAATTTATAAAAATTTCCACTTCCGCCCCTCCTCCCACTACCCTACCACTCCCCCCACTCCCTCTTCTCCTCACACAACATACTGAACATTAGGAAGGATAGTTTCTGCCTTATAGAGAATCCAGACTGTGTGTTTGAGACTCTGTGTATGTGATGGCTTCCATTTTGTAGGTTTGCAACTAGAATGAAAGTCAGGACAAGAAAAGACATCTTAAGTGAAAGACAAGAGGGAGAATGCACAGGGTAATACAGGGGTTTTCAAAGAAAAAGTTGGGTGTAATGAGAGAAGCAGACTGAGTGGATAGAAATCATGAAAATTTAGAAAAATAAAAACAAAGTATTCTGAAGGACAAAATTGATGCCAAAATTTTGTGCTTTGGTATAAAAATTTACTCAATGTCCACATTATTGTGAATATATAAATATGCAGAAATAAAAACTGACCTAAGACAGCATGAAGACAGCCATGTGTTCCCTGGTATTGAGGTGGGAAAGGGAAAGACAGAGTGGAGAGTAAAAAGTGATCATAGGGAGAACTTCAGAATGCAAACAATAGAGTGCTGCAAATATAATTATGACTCCATAGCAATCACTGAGGGGAAGACAGACAACAAGAAATGCCTCATTTGCAAACTTGCTGGGACCATAGGTCACCGTATCACAGAAGTGAGTAAAATTCAGAAATGTCTCAAGTGTTCCTGTCGTAGGGAAGGAGTTCTGTTCAGAGGCAAGTCTGATCCTAGCCAAGGTCCACCTAATGAAGAAGCCATGTCCAGCAGAGATAGAGGGACAGACAGAGCTAATATCTAGAAACACAGCTGTGTGTGGAGCTTTTCAATTTCACATTGACACTACAAAGACATGACAGTGTGGAAACACAACATTCCCTGTGCATATGGTGAAAAGGGAACTAAATAAAGTGTGGTGAATACCTAACAAGGAAAATGTGTACAAAGAACTACATTATTGCTTCAATTTCTGTAACTGTCATCAGTGTGTATGATGTCTTATATCTGCTCTGAGTACTGCCTGCTGCTCAGGTCCAACTACAGAACCTGTTAAGGCAGGAAAATATGCAAATAAGGCTTCTTTGTACCCATAAAAACCAGCCTGCCCTGACCCTGAAGCTCTGGCATAGGAGACAAGCCCTGGATTACCAAATCCTCCCAGTCAGGGTTCAACAGTGAACACAGGCCACTCATCATGGACTTAAAGCTCATACTGGTTTTCTTTGTCCTTATTTTAAGAGGTAATTCACAAAGATGAGATGCTATGTGTTGTGTGGACATGAAAAAGAGAAAAAAATTTTTCTGTGTCAGTCTTCTGACCAGAATTCTTTGTGCTTACAGGTGTCCAGTGTGAGGTGCAATTGCTGGAGTCTGGAGGAGGCTTAGTGCAACCTGGAAAGTCCCTGAAACTCTCCTGTGCAGCCTCTGGATTCACCTTCAGTAGTTATGCAATGAGCTGGGTCTGCCAGGCTTCCGGGAAGGGTTTGGAGTGGGTCGCAACCATTAGTAGTGGTGGTGGTAGCACGTGGTATACCGACGCTGTGAAGGGCCGGTTCACAATCTCCAGAGACAATGCCAAGAACACTCTGTACCTGGAAATGAGCAGTCTGAAGTCTGAGGACACAGCCACGTATTACTGTGCAAAACACACACTGAGTGAATGCTACTGTGAGCTTAAACAAAAACAGGGCTGTGGGGAACACAGGACCAGCAGGGGGCGCTGAGAGCACTTAGAAATCTGGGTCACAGACGAACCTTCTTAGAGAAGTATGGACAACTGGACTTCTTTGTGTGCGCTCTGTCTCTTCATATCACATTTAAGGACTTTCTCTACAGGAATAAAGTGTAGTTGTCCTTGAATGTCTGAATGTTTATTCGAGTTTCTGTTTCCTATTGTGATGTGTGTGATTACTTATTACAGTGTTTGTCCGTTTCCCTTTATCTCTTTCTCTACCTATCTCTGTCTCAGTCTCTCTCACTCTCCGTCTCTCTCTCTCTCTCTCTCTCTCTCTCTCTCTCTCTCTCTCTGTGTGTGTGTGTGTGTGTGTGTGTGTGTGTGTGTTGATATATGATGTATTTATCTAACAGTCTGCACCACTTGTTATGAGACATATTCTATCACTGGGCCTTGATCTCAACGACTGGATAGTCTGCTTGTCCAGTGAGTCCCAGTGTTTGTTCTGTCTCCATATTCCTTATATGGTATACCTGGTTTCTTCTTTCTTTCTTTCTTTCTTTCTTTCTTTCTTTCTTTCTTTCTTTCTTCTTTTATTTTGTAATGGATTCTTCTTAGTTCTATATTTAGAAACTACTGAAGGGCTCTTGTGTGGCAAAAACTTAATTTTCACAGTCCTATTATAGTTGCTTTTTAAATTTATGATGTGCTTTTACCTAAACAAAATGCAGATCATCACAAAGGACAAAAGCAATACTCTGGAGTGGCCAGTATCAGTTCCTGAAGAAGATAAAGAAGATTGTAAATGCTAGGAATTGCAGGCAGCTCCGGACCACATGATTCTAGAGGATCCTGTGCCTTCTGTTTGTCTCCATGAGCATTACACTATGCCCACAGAAGCATATACCCCTAATTTAAAACGTTGGATTTTTTTTTAAACATTCTCATTCAATGCTGTGATTTAGCCCAACGGTCTAGTTCTTGTCTTGTTTATATGAGACCTTGATTTAAATGGTAATATTTAAAAATTATATTTCTCATATTGAATTATATATACACTGTTTGAAAAACCACTACTCCCTGTTGAAGGTTATAAAATGATATCTGTCATCCAAGAATACAGTTTATTTTTCAAGAAAAACTTATTTCTTTCCTTTCTCTAAGTTCTGAGTCAGGAGGTTAACACATACTCAGGGAACCCAGAGTTGAGCAGTGATGTCCTAATGAGCACACATTATTCTGCCCTCCTACTCCTGATTGGGATGCTTCACCTTGACCAGTGCATGTGGGCAGAAGAGGTAGCATAAAGCTAACATTTTCTAATAATAATAGAAATGAATCTTAAACCCAAATGAATAAGTTGCCTATAACCAATGATATGTGTACCATTATCCAAGGTAAAAATGAGATAAAGTGTTATGGAAGTGGAGGGGAAGGGGTGCTTGTGCTGTGGAAATAGGAATGTGGTTCTACTAAGACATCATGTAAACAGTGGGGTCCCTCAGAAAACTATACAAGATGGGGTGACCCAGCAATCTCACTTCTGGGATGAGAAGAAAAAGAAGCAGATTTGGTGCAGGAAAGGAGAGAGAAAAGAAGAGACATGAGTGTAGGAGAAACAGAAGGGTCAAAGAAGTGAGATAAAGAGGAGAGAGGGTGGTGAGATGAATCATTGTAATCACAATACATTATGAATGATTGTGGTAATTTATTTTAAGTAGAATGAATGGCATAGGTGGAAATGAATATTTTCTAATAGCACAGGTTGTTAAGATACAAATACCCATCTGCTCTTGTAAGTGTGTTTTTGTAAAGTGTTGTTATATATCTGTCTGTGTATATATGTATGGGTGTCTGTGTGCTTCCTTCAGAGATGCATACTTTCTCATCATCTATAAATAGTTTACATTGTGGCAGGTACCACAGGAACCTGCTCAGAGGTCAGGTGAGAATGAGGCTTGGATTCAGGGTTTGACTTCAGGCTCAGGGCCTACCTTGCCCTGAACAAGCCTTTGAAGACCTTCCAGTTCTCATTCTTACTTAAGATCCCAGTGCCCCCGGGTGGTGGTGGCGCACACCTTTAATTCCAGTACACCAGGCAGAGGCCTGTGGATCTCTGTGAGTTCAAGGCCACCCTGGTCTACAAAAGCTAGTTCCAGGACAGGCTCCATAGCTACAGAAAAAACCCTATCTCAAAAATCAAAACAAAATGTAAGATCTCAGTGACTACCAAAGCACCAGAGGCAGAGAACACAGCTCAGAAGACCCTGTCTTTCTCTTTTAGATGCGTGGCACACACTGCTACTCATGTGTGTGGTGGTCTCTCATTTTTACTTTTTTTATTAATATATAAAAATTTCCACTTCCGCCCCTCCTCCCACTACCCTCCCACTCCCCCCATTCCCTCTCCTCCTCACTCTCCAGTCCTAAGAGCAGTCAGGGTTTCCTGCCCTGTGGGAAATTCAAGTTGCTACCCCCTCCCTCCAGGTCTAGGAAGCTGAGCATCCAAACAGACTAGGATCCCAAAAAGGCAGTACATGCAGAGGAAACTAGTTCCAGTGCCATTATCAATGGCTTCTAAGACAGTCCCAGTGTCAGCCACATTCAGAGAATCCAGTTTGATCACATGCTCATTCAGTCCCAGTCTGGCTGGCGTTGGTGAGCTCTCATTAGATCAGTCCCTTTATATCAGTGGGTGAGCGCACCCCTCGTGGTACTGACTTCCTTGTTCATGTTCACCCTCCTTCTGCTCCTCATTTGGACCTAGGGAGTTAAGTCCAGTGTTCCAATATGGGTCTCTGTCTAAATCTCCATCCATCGCCAGATGAAAGTTCTATGGTGATATTCAAAATATTCATCAGTATGGTTATGGGCCCAGGCCAGTTCAGTCCCCCTCTCCTCTGCTGTCCAGGGAAAACTCTGGGGACCTCTCCTTGGACCTGGAAACCCCTCTAGAATCAAGTCTCTTGCAAACCTTAAAATGGCTCCCTTAGTTGAGATATATATTTCCTGCTCCCCTATTCATCCTTCCTCCCTCCTCCTCATCCCATTCCCCCAAGCTTTCTCCTATCGTCCCCTATTCCCTTCTCTCTAACCCTCTCCCCTTCCTTCCACCCCCCCAATGCACCCAAGTTTGCCTGGCAATCTTGTCTACTTCCAATATCCAGGAGGATACCTATATGATTTTCTTCAGGTTCACCTTCTTATTTAGCTTCTCTAGGATCACGAATTATAGGCTGAAAGACCTTTAATTATGGCTAGAATCCAATTATGAGTGAGTACATACCATGCTCCTCTTTTGGGGTCTGGGTTACCTCACTCAGTAAAGCGTTTTCTATTTCCAGATATTTGCATGCAAAATACAAAATGTCATTGGTTTTTACCGCTGAGTAAAACTCTAATGTGTATATGTTCCACACCTTCTTTAACCATTCTTCTATTGAGGGGTACCTAGGTTGTTTCCAGGTTCTGGCTATTACAAATAGTGCTGCTATGAACATAGTTGAACAAATGCTTTTGAAGTATGATTCGGCATCTCTTGGGTATATTCCCAAGAGTGGAATTGCTAGATCCTGAGATAGGTTTACTCCCAGTTTCCTGAGCAACCACCACACTGATTTCTAAAGTGGTTGCACAAGTTTGTATTCCCACCAACAATGGATGAGTGTTCCTCTTACTCCACAACCTCTCCAGCATGAGCTATCATTGGTGTTTTTGATTTTAGCCATTCTAACAAGTGTAAGGTGGTATCTCAAAGTTATTTTGATTTGTATCTCCCTGATCACTAAGGAGGTTGAGCATAATCTAAAGTTTCTTTTGGTCATTTAAACTTCTTCTGTTGAGAACTCTTTGTTCAGATCAATGCCCAATTTTTTAATTAAGTTAATTAGAGTTTTAATGTCTAGTTTCTTGGGTTCTTTATATATTTTGGAGATCAGACCTTTGTTTGATATGGAGTTGGTGAAGATCTTCTCCCATTTAGTAGGTTGCCTTTTGTCTTACTGACAGTGGCCTTTGCTTTACAGAGGCTTCTCAGTTTCAGGAGGTCCCATTTATTCATTTTTGCTCTTATTGTTTGTGCTACTGGGGTTATACTTAGGAAGTGGTTCCTGTGCCCATGTGATGAAGACTACTTCCCACTTTCTCTTCTCTCATGTAAGGAGCCATCGGCATGTCTCCTTGGTGAGATGGTGCCAGCGGTCCTACAGCCTGGAGGTATACAGATCCTTTGATGCTGCCATGCGGGCCAGAGTGCTTGGGGCCTGTGTTTTGCATTTCAGAGCCTTGGTTCCCTGACCTGTCCTGAGGCCTCGGGGGGCCTTAGCAGAATGGCATCAACCTATCAGCATTTGAGCCTCTCCACCCTAGAAAAGCAGCTGCCTTTGGGTTTTTTTCTCTCTCTCTCACTTCCTCTTTCGCTTACTCTCTCTCTCGCCTCCTTCTCTCTCACTTCCTGCTCTATCACCCTCTCTCCCTTACTCTCTCTCTCTCTCCCTCTTTCATTCCCCCACATTCCCCATTCAACCAACGGCTCCAAATAAAGATGTGATTTGGGAAGGAATCTTGATTTCGTGGTCGTCCATTCCTGCTGGAAAGTTACCTAGCACATGTGCGTTCACCTGGCGGTGAAACCGGATGCCAGCGCCATCTTGTAATGGGGCATGTGGATGCGGCCCTTCACATCTCCCCCTTTTTTTACTTCTTTGCAGAAAGGCAACTCCCTCAGAAGGTAAAGATAGAGGTCGCACTTCCCAAAGTAGAACCATTAAAATGGGCTTACATGGAATCTGCCCCTAGGCTCATGACACCTGGAACTTATACGGCCTGCCCTCTGCCATTTTTCTGGGAAAGGGAATATGCGGCAGGAAATCCTTATGCAGGGTGACATATCTCTCAGAGAGGGTCATTCTCTGTGTGATGCTCTTTAGCTCGAAAACCTTCAGGGCTAGCTAAGCCAAACACTCCACCATGTGCCATGGACCACTGTCCTAGGGGTGCAGGAGCTGGTTGGCATAAACCTTACTGCTTCAACATAGATAATCACACATAAGTAGAGGCTCCCTGTTCCAGGGC